TTCGGTGATGAACCTTCGGGTTCGGTAAGCCATCTGGTTGGTTGGGTCCACTATTTGGGAAGCCTGAGGGGAAGAGACCTCTGGGGAGACCTAGACGTAGATGGGAGGATAATCTCAGGCGGGATCTGTGGGAGATAGGAGTTGAAGGAGACTGGATTTTGTTGGCCCAGGACAGGGCTTTGGTTAGTTCGGTGATGAACCTTCGGGCTCCCTAAGCCATGATTGGGCCATAGACTTCAAACGATCCATATAAGCTACATTCAAGGGATAAATGTTCGCTGATGTAATATAACACCTCTTTAATATTATCGCCTGTTTAAAATAATAATAATTCAATTTGTTTTTGTTTAGTAGTAATATAGTAAAACTTACAAACTTCGTAAAAGATTAAAATAACGTATTAATATGAAAGCCAAAAAAAAACGTGAAAGATAAATTAAAATTACGCCTGAATTAACTTTTAAGTAACGTTATAGAATATTCATTAACGAAATACAATCCTCCTTGAAGACCGCAATGTCTTCGCGAATTGAACTAGCGAGAGAAATTTATCCACGTAAAGCAGTGACCTTGAAATTGTGATTTACCATAAATCTCTAATTATCCTCTTTAGGTATCTGTAAACCTAACGAAGTGGAACACGGACAAGAGACCGGCGTCTTTCAACCACGAGAAAATATGCCGTCAAAGTGGCGACGGAGCCTGCGAGGTCTTGGACTCACTGGGGGCGTAAAATGGGATTATTTCAATTTTATATTTTAGATTGTTAATCAAAATTAAAGCTTCCCCACTACACGCCATGTAGACGCTTCGGGGGGGAGGAGAGGAGAGGCGATATAGCTCCTACACATTCTTGACCTCGGCTCTAGATGGGGGTGAGTGGTCAGCATCACGCTCCGGCCGTGATTTACCCTCGGAGAAAGGACCAATTAATAATTATAAAATTATTTATAAAATATATAATAGCAGTTTTAGCAACATTAAAGATCACTCTATTTAAAAAAACACCGATTTTGCACCGAATAAACGTCAGACCTGAAATATTTGCAGTCATGAACGTTGTTAATATCACGACAAATTTTTAAATCATCCGCAAACAAGAGCTATTTGGAATTTAAAGAAGAACCAATTGAACTCATCATGCGCACAGACGACTGAACATGACGGCTGTGTCGTTATCACTTCGCGTTACGAACGTCCTGGGTTCGGACCTCGCCCAGAGACGGACAATCTTCAATCAGAATGTCGTGTTTCTTCTCAGCCATTCCACGAAGCAGCCGTACCTTAGCATTCTTAACTGTTATCGCGCCAAATACATTTATTTTACAATTCTTACCATTCATCATATAGGTCTTAATATAAGCGTCGTTAAATAGATCGCTCGTCGCTCAGATAACCGCTTGCTTTGCAGACATATAATAAATTCTACAGCTCTAACAAATTTTTGTTTTCATGAATAGTCGCCTAAACAAGGAAAGTTGCCGTCGAATTTCAACGGGCATTACTAGTTGAAGTGGATATTATTTACATTAACTTAGTGTCTCAAAGGGTTGATTAAATCCATCGGCTCGTGTTGTACATCGCTGGCCCTTTTAATAATTTCTCAAAACAACAAAGAGGTGATTTGTAATTATATAGATGTAAAACAGATTTATATCCAAAAGAATTAGGTAATTAACACGCGCCAATCTGAATCTCTTAATTAACCTGCTCTAAAATAATGAGATTGCTTATTTACGAGGCGCGTCCCAAAAGTAAGTTTCCCTGGGGCCGTTTACAGAAACAAAACACAATTTCATGGAAATATTTATTGCAACAGATACAGCAAGTGTCCAGCTATTTTTCAACATATTCGCCACCGGAATCGAGACATTTGTCATACCGTGGGACCAACTTTTGAATACCTGTGTCGTAGAAGTCGGCCGCCTGGGATTGGAACCACTGTGTGACAACCATCTCTGCCTCTCTGTCATTCTCAAAACGCTGACGCTGACCGGACAGGAATTTCTTGAGGTGTAGGAAAAGATGGAAATCACTGGGAGCGAGGTCCGGGCTGTAGGGTCGATGATTAAACACCTCCCAGCTGAACTCCGGCAGGAGACTTGCTGTCCGTCGAGCCGTGTGCGGCCTAGCGTTATCACTGACCCAGGTATTCAAAAGTTGGTCCCACGGTATGACCAATGTCTCAATTCTGGTGGCGAATATGTTGAAAAATAGCTGGACACTTGCTGTATCTGTTGCAATAAATATTTCCATGAAATTGTGTTTTGTTTCTGTAAACGGCCCCAGGGAAACTTACTTTGTGGACGCGCCTCGTATTATAAGGAATAACACGTGGTTTTAGTAAACTCTTGTCCAATTTCTCTAAATTCGAATAACTCAATCATTTTCACACATCTCACGTGCGTTTTGAACTGTAGATAGTTCAGTGCAGAGACTAAACTTTACATTTTTCTCGTCATTAATTTAAGTTCATGAAATCGGAACGTCGTGACATAAAATGTATTTTAGGCGAATGTTAAATTTCCGAAATTTCTCTGAATGGCGATATTGTTTTTAAACACCAAATAAGTGGTGTTTTTGCATTAAACCACGTGTGGTCTCCTACAGACGACAAAAATAATGACGCTGATAACTTTATACTTTAAACAGAATGTGATCTTCTATCGTCAACCAGACAACAAGGATTCCACATTAAACAAAATGCAAGATTCTTCTCATACGAATTCTAAATTTTGTATTTGTAGTTAACGGAAGTAAATCTTATGTTTTAAGCAGACATTGAAACCATCAGGATTCAAAATCTAAAAAAAAAAATTATGTTCAAATTGTGCGAGACAGCGACACCATATTTCCGAGATGAAACATTGTGACGTAATGACCCCACGCATGCGCGAAGCTCGTGTATTCTATGGGTTTCCCAGCCAGGAAGTGAGGTTAGGAATCCCTACTGCCATATGCGGACATTAACTTAACGCTGATGTAGCCTTGTGCCTCTGTAAAGCTTGGGAAAAAAAAAGTCTCACATAAACAAATTAGACGACGTATTACGTGTCTGTCAACGAGGGAGTCAATCACTACATGTGTTTAACTAAGCCAATGCGTCGCTTGTACACAAGAAGAAACCCC